TTTTACTGTGTTCTTCCTGTTGATTCATGTTCATTTAAGACGGGTCTCGAAGCGGAGGCCTCTGGAAAACAATAACAGCTTTGGACAGCGTTTTTCCAGGAAGTTACTCCTGGAAATCAACTTTGAACGCGCCATAATATCATGATTTCTGAAACAAGATGAATAGAATTGCGGGAAACATATGCAATTTCTAGAAATACCCTATTATCTGTAATAGAAAGGCCCCTCACTTTTAGCCTTAATTCAATTTATTTGGGTTCCTGTGGCAGATACCAAAACTTTGTTAACTGATAAATACTTCATCAAAATATCACAGAATTTCTTCAGTTGACACATGTTTGATATCTTTCAAAGAAATTGAGCTCAAACTTAAAAGTGTAGGGGCTCTTCTATTACAGGTTTTACGGTATTCGGTCTTTTTTAATGCCAAATATGTCCGTCCTGTTTGTCTGTGTGTGTGTCTGCATCCATCATCATTGCTTCTTCAGGGTTGCTACGCAAAAATTGCCGAGTCATTCCAAGAAGTGACATCACACTTCAAAATTGTTTCTTGGACTGTTGTATTGTTTGCATTGATTCAAGTATGATGCTTGCCTGTCAAAGTAAAATAGCTTTGCATGTTTCAGGTGGTTGGTATTGTGGTTGGTTTCTGGCTGTGCGACTCTATCACTTCAGACGACGAGTTCTAAACTCTACTCCGCCCATTCTTCCTCTCAACCGTATAAAATTATGCTCATTGAACTTAGATTTTGTAAATGAGAAATTTCAGGGTTGTATAACACCGCTATATCGTGAACATCAAATTCATTTGTCTGCTATTTCTTCTATTCTTGTCGTTTTGACGATTCTCGGCGTAAGTTCAAGACACTAGGAGGTATGATCATAAAATTTTAATTTTCAGGTTTGCCTATTGTTTGTTGGCATCCAATTGTTCCGTCGAGTTCGAATCGAGATGCTTTCCTACTTCTGAATTACCTTCTTCTCTACAAGTGTCATTCCCATATTTGAATCTTTCAATCTGCTACAAATTTTCCCAAATTTTTTCTATTTTCTGTAATCCTCTGTTCTTAATCAGCACCTTCTCGGGTCTTGTTCTCAAGATGATGGAGAGTGTGACTGTCAGTCTTTTCTCCATTGCCAGTTGCTTCTTCCTCTTCAAGATCTGTTTCATATGCACCTACGCTCTCGTTGTCCAATATCTTGGAAGAGACCATCCGTTTGTTCGTAACTACTTGTGAGAAACTTGTTCTTGACACCATTTAACTGTTTAATTTTAAAAAAATCACCTAGATCACTGCGTAGCTTTTTGTATTACTCCCCAGATTTCGCTCCAAATTTTTTGATTACAAAAGCAAATCATTCTCAGTGTCCCTCTTGTTTTTATTAACAAATACTGATCATGCGGCTGTAATTCTCAATAAATGAATAATTTCAATTGAAAATTGATTTTTAAATTTTCAGATATAAAAAAATTACACAGTTATCATTTATCTAATGTAATTACATCGAAAAAATAGGAGATCAACACTAATATTGCAAAAAATAAATCAGAAAATTCTTAAGGCCAGGAGGATCTTGCGACTAGGAAAAGTTTAGCGTTGTCATCTCCGTGCCATGAGTTTCCTTTGCTGTCTGACTGAGCATTTCCAAAGAACGGGCTTTGGACGGGAACTGGTTGAGCTGGGGCAGGTTGTTGGAACTGCGGTTGCTGCTGGACTTGTTGCATACGTTGTTGGTTGTACCACCTGAAAATGTTTTGGTTTACTGTAACTGGGAATTTCAAACATACCAGTTATAATATTGTTGCTGTCGGTAAGCTGCCAGTTGTTGTGCAGTCCACTGTTGAGCACTTGAAAAGGCAACAAGTGCAAAGAGAAAAGTGAAAATGAAGAAAGTGTTCATTTGGGATGGATGGTGGTTTGAAACTTGCGAATATCCCTCTTTATAGTGGCCACACAACCTGCGTCACTTTGATAAGAAAGGCGTCATTGTTTCTAAAAGAAGGTGTCGTCGGAAATAGCTTGATAGATCAAAAAAGATCACAATCTTTGCCAAAGAAGATCGAAAGCAAACAGTTGCCGGAGAAATAGGTAACAGAAACGCCTAGACTGAAAACAAAGTTTTCTGGAAATCCTGTGAATATTCTACCCAAAAAAAAGTCTACTACAAAAATCCAAATACCAAAAATCATTATGCCGTCATTTTATGTGAAACTTTGTGCCCTCAATACGTAATGTTTGGAACACGTCAGTTTTACAAGTTGGTTTTTGGTAGAAAATAATAGTTTGATTTTTCGATTCGGCTGAAGAGGAGTTTGCATGATGTGATTTTATAGAACCGGAATTCAAGTTTTGTCCAAATCCAAACTCTGCAATAGTTTGATCTCTACACTGGTAAAAACATTCCAGCTGATACTTTTTTGATCAAATGAGAAGTATTAAAACAATCAAGTTTTTACTTGTCCAAAATAGTTCTCCTACTTTCACTTACTTTACAAAATTATCAATGACCGGTGAGAGAGATGATCAGATTTTCAAAAATTTGTTTTATCAAAAAAGATGACCGAAAAGGTAGCGAAGTACATTCGAAACTTCCGGAAACTTGAGAAAACACCTCGACGTGATTGAAAAGTGAGTGGGTGGCATGATTAAGTTCTACAAATACATCTGATTTGTGAAATTTCATTTTATCAACCGGATCATGTGGAAAGTACAAGTTTGTTTTAGTATAAAAAGGGGTCTGAAAAGTGAAAACATTGAATCATGCAGTACCTCACTATTGTTCTACTTTTTGTCCTTATTGCTGTTTGCCCTGCTCAATGGGATAACAGTTATTGGTAAGTTGTAATCCAAGTTCCGTATACGGTCAACTAGGTACACAGATATGGTATACTGTAATCAAGTAAGTACGGTATACGATATTCACAGAAATATCGTATACCGTAATTAGTTTATTCAGTGTGCTGTATGTTTATATCGGGGTACTATTCCTAGGGTCAGTATCAGTTGATAATTTTAAGATAATGTCTCACTGATGAAATCACAAAACCCAGATTTTCGTGAAAAGTTTTAGGTTAGCTTAAGAGTAGCCTGTTGTAACTTTTAGAATCCGCTCGCAAGTTTTAGCCGAAATACATCAGCACAACAAATTAGTATTACATTAACTTGGTATGCATACTTTATCAAACATTGAGAGACTTTTTGAATAAGTTGAAAATGACGACTGGGTGTTATCGGGATGTGGTGTGTGCAAGGTCTGCGTATGATCATTCTCGTAAATTCTAAAATTGTAAGGGGTAACTAAACATGCTTTCCTAAAAATAATTAGAAATTGTTTTTAAAATCCAGGTTTTCAAGGTATTGAAGCTCCCTATTTTGGTTCATTGTCTGAAATCATTTATTTTTCAGGTGGTACAACCAGCAACCAACACAAGCGCCGGCGAATAATTGGTTTGGAGGTAGCCAGAGTGATGATAAAGGGAATATGTGGCATGGAAGTGACAACGCAAAACTTATGATCTTCGCCAAGTCTTCATGGCCATGAATGTTGATATATTTCTTATCTCTTCATTTGTATAATTTCTGCTTTACCTATCTGATTTCTGCAATAAATATTGAACAAATAAATTATCGTCCCTTTTTGTGGACAAATAAGTTGTCACATGTCATAGAACTCACACTTCACATCAAAATTACACTTGTTAACGCATCTCAATGATTAGGTTCTCACTATACGTTTTCGAAAATTTTCGAATTCGTAAAACAACGTAAAATTTTGAATAATGAAAAAAAGGTGTTCAAGTAGAGCGAGTGGCGATCGAAAAAAAGCGTATGAATTTTCGTTGGTCTTTTTGAATTCAGATTAGGAAGCCATACTGCGATGAAATTTTTTTCTAGTAAAATTAATCAAACATGGGTGTCCACTAAATGTCAATGTCGACAGGAATGGATGTAGCATAATTTCGAATATTCTCTAGTTTCGGAACTTCTATTTTTCTAGGACCTTCAATTCCCTGGCTTCTGTAACTTTAGTGGTGGGAGATTACTCCAAACTATCATTTTCACAAGAGATATTTTCTTGGATACTTCAAATCTCTATAAAACTGCTACTCGTACACATTTGAAAATTCTCACAAGTTGTGTATTTTTCAAGTGTTGATTTTCGTGAGGGCATCATGAATTTGAGTAGTCGTCTTCCCACATTTTATGTATCTTCCGATTGTTTTTCAGGTACCTTCTCAGAGCAGCTGAAGCAATAAAATTTTTGATTATCGAAGCAGACAAGTATTAGGTTGGCGGGAAAGTCTTTGTCACTCTGTTTGTTTAATCACTGTTCTCGTATATGGAGGCTGTGTATGATATCGACTCTAGTGAATAACAAGGTGATAAGAACCTTCCATATAAACAAGTCCCCATTTCCTTCCCTGCTCCTCATCTGTAATTGAAACGATATGTTTGTTCCCACTGCTATTCACATCAGACATGTTTTGATTTACCTCTTCCTATCTCACACCACGATGAAGGATTCGGAAACTTTCTTGAAGAATGTGTACAACACACATGCCCCTCACTACAATACTATTCGCAATTGGTTCCATCGTTTCGAAAAAGATGACTTCTCGCTCGATGAAAAGGATCGCTCTGGGAGACCCCGTGAGTTGGATTTGGACAAGCTGAAGCACGCATTGCAATCGGATCCATTTCAATCTAGCCGTGAACTAGCTGTCACATTCGGAGTTCACCATAGCACAGTCCTTGAAGGTTTGAAGTCTCTTGGAATGAGAAAACTTTTTGGTCGATTCATACGTCATCACCTGACTCAAGCCAACCTTGACCGCCGAGTCGACGATTCGATTACTCTTCTCACTCTCCACGCGGGCGATCGATGGCTGGACCGGCTAATAACCGGAGATGAGAAGTGGGTCTTCTACGATAATCACCACAGGAAATCCCAGTGGGTTGGAGAAGGAGAGAGCCCACAGGATGTCCCCAAACCCGACCTTCATCCGAAAAAAGTTATGCTCTCTGTGTGGTGGGGAGTGGACGGCCCCATCTACTGGGAATTTCTGCCCGAGGGCAAAACAATAACTGGAGACCTCTACACTACTCAACTACGAAACCTCAAGAAAGCAGTCGACCGTTCGGCCCTGAAAGACAAGAAAGTGTACTATCAACATGATAACGCTCGCCCACATGTTTCGAAACAAGTGAAGCAGGAGCTGATGGGATATGGATGGAATGTTCTCCCTCACCCCCCGTATTCTCCTGATCTTGCTCCTTCCGACTATTGGTTATTTGGCGATATGACACGTGCCTTCGAAGGAAGAAGCTTCAATTCCCGTGGAGCGGTCGAAGCGGCACTCAAACAATACTTTGCCTCACGCCCGGCTGGATTCTACCGCAATGGAATCCATAAATTGAGGGAACGTTGGAGACATGTTGTTGATAATGATGGACAATATAATTAATTATTCGGTTATTTTTTCTTTGAGAAATAAACTATTGAAAAAGTGACAAAGACTTTCCCGCCAACCTAATACAAAAAAAAGCGTCATTCGGTATTGCAGACTACAAGATGGCGGGAAAACTTCTACCGAAATAACTCCTTTTTTAATCACTCTAGTTTACTCACATTTTTAGTAGAAGTTCTAGAATATCAATTCACTGATGATATAAATTCCCTTAAGTCTGCAAATGTCATCATGCCCATCAAAAAACATCTGCCACGTGAAGGAGGGTTACTTCCGTTAGGAGATAACTGGGACTTTATTATCTAAAGGATAAGTGTTTATGAAAGACAATATCTGTAATTGGTCCCATCTGCACGTGATGATGTGAAGAAGACAGGATGACAATGAGCGGCAACCTTACCTCCGGTCGCTGGGACATCTATCTGTACCTATAACGTATTTACCCTCAAATAGTCATTAACACTTAACACTTTGTTGTCGTCATAATTTTCGAAAAGCTCGTTATCTCTAACTTTTCCGTTTTTTAGCCCGTTTTGAAAAATTACGACTTATGTTAGATATTAATCTTTTCCAATGCTCGTAGCGGATATCTCGACAAAATTTTCTTAAAAGTGGAACAGCGAACTACAGTGTTCTGTGACCCTGTTTGTAACTTAACTTATTAATTTCTTCAATTTTTTACCGGATTTTATATTTTTTCAATGATTTTCATCATTTCAATCCATTTCGTTTTTGGTTTACATTTTTAAAAACGATGAAAATCGTCGACAGATTGAAAAAATATGAAACTAAAATCGAAAATATGCTAAAAGACCACTGCAATTTGCTTTTCATATCCAGAAAAAAGAAAAAAAATGTTGAAAATTCAACAGCCATGACTTTTTATTTACTGTATGTCAGTTCCATCGCCAATTTCGAAGTTTGACACCCACAAAACTATCTCATTAGACAATGTATGCTCTCCTTTTGGAACAAAACCCGTTGCTTTTCACTTGATGTATTCAATTAGAAGCTCTTTTTTCTCATTTCACAGATACAGTGCGGTCAACATCTTTAGGGTCGCCCTCGTTTTTTGGGTTCCAGACGAACGGGAATAGATTTCAAAATTTTGTTAACGTGTGTCGCTCATTTTTTCTTACTTTATTCGAATTTTTTCTTTTTATTCTATGAACGAATTACAAAAAATTCGACCTTCAAGACTAACCCCTCCCGTTTTTTTCCCAACAACATTCCCACAAAAAAAAAATTTGGTCCCTGGGAAAGTTTTTTTAGGGGTAGACCCTATACAGCCAGGTGGTGGTGTCACTCACACTTTGTATACACTTCACCCCATCACTCCACCCACAGTGCACCTGCTCGCTCCGCCCACTTTTGGTGGACTTCACTAGACCCAACTTAGTCATTCATTCATTCATTTTTTCGGTTCGCTCAGTGGCTGGTTCTTCACTTTTCTCCGGTCCATACTTGTTATTGATAAAATTCATATTTCAAGTTTTTCATTTTCAGATAATCAACTAAACATGTTCTTCTCTTCTTCCTCATCCTCTGCTTCGTCCTCTATCTCCTCGTCCTCCTCTGGTTCTTCCACTAGTGCTGCCCCGATCGTTACCAAGATGGAGATCACCAAGGAAGACGTCCGCAACTACAAAGAGACTCTCCGCGGAATGAAAGGAAGAAAGTACAGCGCTGCAAGTTTAAAAACACCTAGAAGATTTTTATAAAGAACACATTTTTAGCTTGCCATGCATTTGATCACCAACGAGACCATCTACCGTGTCACCATGGAGTGTGCTGTCAAAGCGATCAAGATTCTGAAGAAAGTCATCAGCAGAGGACCATGCCGTTATAAGTTGGTAAGTGAATTTATAACTTTTTTGAATTGATTGAGAATCGATGTGTTAATTTACTCTGCAAAACAAGTCTCGACTGCAAAATAAATCGTTATTCCAGGGAAGCAAGACCGACAATCTTGTCCAACTCTACAAGAAGATCCACGACGAATATAAAGACATGATTCTAAAGATGGACATCAAGATGATGCCGTCCAAAGCCGAGTACCTTATCGAATGCTGGCTCAAGAAAGATGCTGCCCAGAAGGCCGCTCAAGAACACAAGGATCGCAAGAAGGAGAGAAAAGCCGCGAGAGTTGCTGCTGCCGTGTCCCGTCAATCTGCTGGATCCCCAACCAACTCCTACACCCAAGCCATCTACAGCAACATCATGAAGCCACGTGTCGAGGTCACCTACGAGAATCTCCCAGCATTCTACTGCAGTGACGAGATCATCATCTAATAATTCAAATTTTCCCGCATTCGCTCTTTTTTAATAATTGTTACATTCATTGTCCCTGTTCCCCTGATCCTGTTTTTATTTTTTTTCTTGTTTTTGAGATGAATTTGTAATTCAAAAAATTTAGTGTCTAAGTTTTGCAGAAGTTTTCAGAATCTCAGTTCCTTAGTCCGAAAGTCGTTCTTGCGCTTCTGTCGATCTGTAGTCTTTCGCTTTCCTTTCCAGCCAGCCACGAAACATGCATCGATATCGTGTTTTGAGAAAAAGAAGAAGAATCAGAAAAATACGATTCCCACGATTTGTATGATGTGCCACGCATTGGACGAGTATAATGCACGGTTTGGAGTGTTTCATTTTCATATTCTGAACACTCTTGATACAGTCTGTCGGATCTCTATGGTATTCAAAACAAACAACATTTTAGAATCAATAAAAAGTTAAAAATGTTTCCTGTTTCCTAGTTGTTATTCTCAAGAAGAAGAGACACAGAAAAGAAGATAGTGCACTTTTCTTTTTTGGCTATTTGAATACGGAAAACTCGTATTGTCTTGTCTTTTCTCTCTTAGTCTGACGAGCTTTCTGCTTTCAAAATGTTCTCTTTAAACGTATTTGTGTATTATAGATATCCACCTAGTTTCGTTTTGTTATTTTTGTTTCTTATCTGGAATATCTTCAGTCACTAGTTACATGTTTTGCTTCATCGTAAATCAGAACGTCTAGCTTTCAAAGTGATTTTTAGCTTACCTGTTCTATCCGCAACTTTCGTTTCTCTGCCGCTCTCTTCTATCTCTCTATCAGAATTTGAATTTGGCTCCTCTCCTCTCCCTTTTTCCACCTAATCACTTTGGAATGAGGAAGAAATGACAAAGGAGCCGCCGGTGAGACATATCACTAGTCAAATCGTCTTCATCAGATGAAATTGAAGAAAATGTGCGCTGTGAGTTGTATTATTCTAAATCCACATAGCTTACTTTGTTTTTTTCAGAATGCAATGTTCATTCTGACCAACGAAACAATCTATCGTGTTACTATGGAAACAATCGATAACACCAAGAAGGCTTTGAAAAAGGTCATCCGCCATGGAGCCGGAATATTCACCACGGTGAGTTAAAAATCATAACTTGTGAAATTCTACATAAGAATGTTTTCTTCGATAATGAGTAATTGCAAATTGATATGTTTTTCTGCTTAATTAGTCAACCGAATCCCCCCGGGTAGTCGACACGTGCTAGATTCTTCCATTGAACTTCCAGGGATGTTCGGAATGGCTTTTTTCGGAATTTCGGAATTTCGCAAAATTCCGATTTTAAAAATTTCGGAATTTCGGAATCTTGGAATTTTCCGATTTTCAAAAATTCGAATTTTCGGAATTTCGGAATATTCCGATTTTAGAATTTTCGGAATTTCGGAACTTTCGGAATTTTCCAAAATTCGAAGTTTACAGTTGAAATTTCAGTTTCCCATCACAAAAACGGAGGAATCTTTCGAAAATTGACAGAAACATTTCGACAGCGCAAAAAAATAGCAAAATTACTTCTGTTCAAGACCCGCCGGTGAATTTTTCCTGGCATACTGTACTCGAAAAATTTTAATTCCCAAAAAAATGCTTCGGGAAAATTCCGGTGGGAATTTCATTCCGAAAAATCTTTCGGAAATATTCCGACCGGAATTTCATTCCGAAATTTTTACTCGGAATTATTCCGGTCGGAATTTTCGAAATTTTCGGAATTCCGAATTCCGTTCCGAAAATCCCTGCATTAAGATCATTTTCAAAGTTTTTTCGAAAAAAATTCTTTTCCCGAAAGGTTTCAAAGGTTACAAATTTTGAAAAACTTCTGTGTATCAAAGCTCATTAAGTAGACAAACTTGTGAATGAGCGCTAGACGGCCACGAAGTCGGTTGCTGAGCAATTTGGATAAGGTGATGACAGCCGTGAAACGCTTTTCCGTATATAATATGCTTGAAACGTTCTTAAACATAACATTTTCTGTAGAAATAGGTCAAACATGGTTTTTAAAAAAATAAGCTTGCAAATCTTGTCTAAATTTTTATAGAATCTCAGAGAATTTCCAGGAAAAAAGAACCACCAAACTTCTCGAATCATATGCGCAACACCAGAAAGCCTACGACTCGATGATGTTCAAAATGGAGATTGCAATGATGCCTTCCAGAGCCCTCAATGTTATCAACACCTGGCTCGAGGACACACTCGGAGACCAGGATCCGGCCGCCGTGCTGATATGTGAGAATCATCTGTACAGTTCACGCATCGTCGACTGTGGAATGGACTGCCCCTGCATGGCGACTTCGGTTTAATACTTTGCTGATCTCAGAACAAAAACTCAATGTCCTTCAATCTGTTGTCTTATTTCATTTTTTTTTGGGTACAAAAGTTTCTCAATAAAAACCATTATTTTTGATAACAATGTTTATTGTCTTTTCGAATCGTCAGGTTTTTGAGCCTTTCCATTATTTTTCTCTATTTTTTGATAATCTTCTTTTTGTCCGATTTCAAATAATGTCAAAAACTCATACTTTTTTTTGGAATGCTAAAAACATGGTTTTTGTTTTGACTTCCGAATGATTTTGTACCCAGCAGATCACCACCTGTTGGTCCAATTTCAAAACATAAATGTCTCAATTTTTCTGTACATTCTCAAAAAAAAAAGAAAAACAACATTCGTTCTTCGCGTTCTTTCTTTCCCATTTATCCACTTTTTACAGTATGCTTTGAATTTGTGCCCACGATGATGGATTTCCTCACCCGACTTCTGGCCCCTAGACGCGATCCTCCTCCGATGATGAAACAGATCACGCCAGAAATGAATCTGGACATTTACCGAACACTCATGAAAATGAGTGTTGTCATAGTCAGATTGGTGAGACTCATTTGAAATTAAATTTCAAATTTCGTATCTTTTTTCAGGCGAAAAAATATAGGTCTACTCGCGAAATCGCGTACAAAGAGTTGAAAAAATCCGTTGAAGCCTCACGTAGAAAAGTTGAGAGAGCCTACGCTTTGGATACACGCTGGTACAAAATTGTGAGTTATTCAGAGAATGGAAGAGCGAACAACATTTATTGTAACTGATTTCAGGGAGGAAAAAGTGAAAAAATCATGGCAGAATATGAGGAAGCTTGCCGAGAATTCCACCGGGATATCTTCATGGTTGAAATTAAAGTGAATCCTGATAATGCAGAAGAGACTCTTTTAAAATGGCTCAGAGTCAATGATCAATTGTGATTTAAGAAACTGAATTCTCTGTGCCCGTAAAAATCTGGTATTTCTCTGAATAAACGATAGATTTGTAGTTTGAGTATAAAACAAGGAAAAAAAAGTGAGGTGAAGGTTTCAGACAGCTTATCGGGATTTCGATTTCTGAATTGTACAAAAATTGCAAAATGAATTGACCTATTTGATATTTTTTAATTTAATAGTCATCTAACATCTATAGAACTTCTCACAGCAAATTCTCAACGCCCCTCTAAAAACAGTTCCCTTGTAAGAATTATGGAACAAAATTCAACTATCGTGGCTCCGCCAATTAGTGGATTTTTAAAATAAAAATCCAATAACTTTTTGAAAATGAATTTTTAAAGTCTCTACAGGAGCTCGGTATGATTGTCAAAATTATCTTCCTTGAAATGGTGCATAAAAAGCATTTGGAAAGTTTTTGAAATGATTTATTCCCGGTCCAAGAGAATAGCAACTGTTGCATTTTTCTGGAATTTAGGTTTTGGCTAAAATCTTGTTTGTCACACAAACTTTCCAGATGCATATTTTTGAGAAATTAGGTATATATTCTAATCCCGCCTATATTTTTGCCATCCGTCTCTCCTATTCTTATGAGTGATCTCGCACCACATTCCCCTCTCTTTCTTACTTGGGAAGATAGGCAGCGCAACCCACTGCATATTATCTGGTGTGTGTCACCCCGTTCAATACCATTGCCAGAGTTCCCCTTCTCTCTTGACCATAAAAGTGTTGCGCATTATGTCCACAAAGGCGCCCTATTGATCAGAACCTTCCGCCGCGAAACACTAGTTTTCAAACTTTGCATTTCTATTTTCTTATCAGTTTCTTATTCATACTTGTTCATTTTCTCCGCGGATCTTCATTCGTGTTCACAAGAAGTCAGTAATAGTTTCTCGTTTTTTAAATAATAATAATTTCGTGAAGTTAGCTCAACTTTTTTGCTACAAAAGTTTTTTCTCTTCCATTATTTTTGGACTTCATATATTTTTTCTTATTTGATAATCAATATAGGTGGTCCAAAAACGTTCATTAGTTTCACAAATGTGTATATGCCTTATCTCGCCACCACCGACGTTGCCATATGCTCCATTCTACCTACTCTCTGCGGGTACTTGAGTGAGTAATTAACACGAGAAATTAGTGAGATTGAAAAAAGATTATTTTCGAGAGAACCTGTAAAACATGAATTTACAGTAACGGCCTAAGATTTGTCACTTCCATCTATTTCAGGCAAAAAATGTCAACCTAGGATAACTAGAAATTTAGTAGATTTTGTTTGATAATACTGAAAAAATTTTAAGCCTACTAAACGAAATTCGAGCGTCCATTTTGTAGTTGGTTTTTTTTCGTGCAAATTCATACATATCCGCTAAACTACACAAAAATGTCAATGACATGTTATTTCTGGAGGTTTCGCCACGTGGTTGAAAACACTCTAATAAAAATACACCCTGTACTCACACTTTGAGCTCAATTATCTTTGTTTCTATCAGAGATATCAAAAACTTGTCAATTGATAAAATGTTGTTTAAATTATGAAAAGCATTTTATTAGTTGACAGCTTTTTGATATCTCTTCCAGAAGTTGAGACAATTGATCTCAAAGTGCAAGTACAGGGTGGGCCTCTATTAAAGTGTTTACGGTATCTTGTTTAGATGATTTTGTACATGACAGGTGTCAACTATAATACAGAAGTTTCATCTGTGGTCAGTAAATTCTATATCACTACTCTGATTCAGCTGAATTTTCTATACTTTGTTTACATTCAATCGACATATTTTCCACAAAAAAAGGTGAAATCACTTGAAACCTGTATTAGAAGGGCCGGCCCTTTTATTGTGCCAAGGTGTCTCCGGATGACTCTTCTATCACAGGGCCTTTCTATTTTTCTGGACAGTTTTTTTCCAAAATTTTGCATCGAAACTCGACGAAGTTTCGTTCATAATTCACGAAAATCTGCCAATTTTATCAAAATTCAGCAAGATTTTTATCGAAAAATAGAGTTTCAATAAATTTCTATTAAATTGTGGAGTTCCCGGAATATATTCCGCTGTAAAAGTACGAAAATGTTCTGATTTCAAAGCACATTTTGAAGGGGAAACCTTTTTCAAAGAGGGCCCTTCTATTACGGGGGCCCTTCTATTACATGGGCCCTTCTATTTTTCCGAGCTTCTTTCGGAGGGCCCATTAGAGGGGAATTCTTATTAAAGGGGCCCTTCTAATACAGGCTTTACAGTAGCAAACTTCCAGTCTGTACTAGGGGAGCGGTCAATAACAAATGTATAAAAATTTATTTCGCTGTTGATTTCCGGCAACTTTGATCTATTTAGAGAGTCCAAAGCTTAGTTATCAAGTTTCCGATCGCTTTGAAATGTATGGAGGGTGTAAAACAGACTTGGATTGAACACTTTGTATTCACAGAATTTTTTTAAAATTCCTAGTTTTTCAGCTATTTGTCAATTTCTGAAAAATCCCTCTTTCCGCCCATTTTTGTACTAATGTGAACAAGGGATTATTTTGAAAATCGGTACATATCTGAAAACTAGGAAAAATTTGTGAATGCAATGTTTTGAATCTAGTTTGTTTTTAAAAAAAAAAACTTGACAACTGAGCTCCAGACTCCTTAAAATGCTCGAAATCAACTGAAAACACGTTTTTGTATATCATAGTGACCGGTACTGTATAGTTTTGGCGAAATTCATTAGAATTAATTCAATTAGAATTAAATAGATGCTTAATTAAATAGATGATTTTCTTTTTTTTTTTAGATTTCTAAAAACACTGTTTGCGTTGCCTGTCGTATTCTTTCCTTGTATAAATCTTTATTTGTTCATCCTTATTATCGTTCTGTTTTTAAGTTCGGCATGTCAAGTCCTCTCTTTTCAGTGTTATTGAATTCACAAACATGGCCCCAAAACGCAAGACTGCCACAACTTCCGAAGAATTGCCAGGAAAGCAAAAACGAGTACGTCAAGTGAAGAGAAACCAGGACGATGAAGTCGAGAAAGAAATTGGTTTCCAATGTTTCTATAGATCAAACATGCCAACTCAGGATGAGATTCATAAGGCGGTGGAGGAAGTATCGAAGATGGCAGTGGAAGTTCTGAAGGAGGGAAAAACAATTACCAATCCCGATTTAGCTGCTGTTCTTTTGGCTGAAGACAAAATTCAACCAAATGAGGAGAAGATGGAGGATTCGGATGATGACTCAATGTTTGAGATGTCGATGGACAACTACGTGGAGGATCGGAAATTCAAAAAAAATCCAGTAGAAGCTTCTTTCTCCAAAGCGTTACCAACCGATGGTAACGGTAATCCACCGTTGAACTTCTTCTTCCCGACAATCTCCAACGTTGATGGCCTCATTGAAACTCAGCTTTCCAACTTCCCGGACACAAACCAAGATGTGAAACTCGTCCGCTCTCAAATCCTCGAGGTTGGTTTTTAGATAAAACACAATAGAAAAGTTTTTAGACAATATTTATAAATGGTGGAACTTTTTTTTGCTAACTTAGTTGTCCAAAAATTATGCTTCAGACACCGTTTTCCATAAGTTTTGTTTAAAATCAAACAAAGTTTCGATTTTCTTTTTTCGAGTTTGTATCAGTTAAACAAACATTCATTTTCAACTAGTTATTTTTCTCACTGAAAAGGAGTTGAGATATAGTTTCTGTAAATGTATTACTGATAATTTTTGCTAAGTGTGAATTATTTGCTATGAACTACAAAAAACAATCTATTTTTAGGCCTATGAGAACGGTGTCCATGGATACAGGCTCGATGAACATGAGCACAGTGAACAGATTCTCTTCGAAATTATGAAGCGGCTCATTCCCGGAACAACCAACGCGGATCTTTTGTATTTTGCGATTCATTGCGTTTTCCCCAACATCGGAACGCAATTCGAAATCTCGAAGATGTTCCCGAAACTCTGCCGCAAATATGCTTCTGAGGACAGCTCGTTGGTTGGTTTGGAGAGATGGAAAGCACAAGAACAAGTTGAAGATCTGCCAGTTCTCCCACAACTCCCCGAGCCAGAAGTTCTACAACACTTCATTGTGAAGCAGATGAATTTGAAAATTGAGAAGGATGACGAAAGATGTTCGGATGACTGCTACAAGGATCTTTCACCAGGATATTTTGAGAAGATGCTCAAAAAACTGGATTCGAGAAATCCCTCCGATGTATTACTGTATGTCGCCAAAAGCAAAGTTACAAACTCCAAAACAGCCGCCTTTCTGAACGATCTTTTGCTCCGATCAGAAACGTGGATTACGGGATTCTGCGAACATGCGAGAACTTCCAAGGAAAATACATGTGCAAAATGGTTCGAGTTGCTCATGGATAACTCCACAATTCCAGACGATCGATTGTATAAGACCACAATGAAAAAGTACAAGGATGACCAGAAGTGAGTTTTTATTCATAATTTGACAATTTTTAACTAATCGGCTAATGGGGAAATTCTGGGCTTAAAACCCCCTACATATGAAAATTCTTTCAACTTCAAGAAAAAAAACAAAAATTCATGCTCTGGAACGTTTTAGAAGTTGAGATAATCGTCTTTGAAAATCGCTGTTTTGCACTGAAAAAGCGAGTTTTGGTACTGAAACTGGCGAGCGAATAAAAAAAACTTGAGAGTTGTTCAGACATCTTATTGTTAACCTATCCTGAAATTTTTATCAAAATGTGGATTTACAAGTTTTGATGTTCCCTTATTAACTATCAAAATATCATTTCAGGGGCTTCAATAAACGGCTAAACAGATTCTACTCAGCCGTGTGGACGAAGAAAGACCTAAATGTACATCCGCTGACCCCATGCAACCACGTTGGGTCATGTGGACCGAACGTTCCACATTGCTCATGCAATAAATACTGCACTGTAGCTTGCCAGTGCAGATACGATTGCGGAATAAAGTTTCCGGGCTGCAATTGTGGAGAGGTCGATGGACAATCTTGTGGAACATCATCGTGTCCTTGTGTGCTCTTGAAATTGGAATGCAACCCACTCACGTGTAATACGAGTTCAAGAACTTCTGGAAATGCTCCATGCATGAATGCCGAACTGGGGAAAGGAGCAATGGTGGTGATCCATGTTAAGAGGTCAGGAGTGCCACAGATTGAAGGAAATGGAGCATTCCTTGGACAATCCGTCAAAAAACATGAATGCCTCGGCGAATATGTTGGAGAATCAATCCCGGATGAAGAGATTGAACGGAGAGGAGCAGAGTATCACTTTTCATGCAGTTACATTTTTAGTGAGATATTAATTTCTCATTCTCAAAGGAATCTCATTTATATTTGCAGATTCCGGCCAAGGTCTTGGGACAGGAGTGGATGCCATGAGAACTGGTAACAATTTAAGATTCGTAAACCACTCAGACAAACCCAACTGTGAGGTCCGGAACATGAATGTAAATGGTAGAGTGGTGATCGGATTTTATGCTCTGAAAGATATGGAAGAAGGCACCGAGCTGTTCTTCAATTATGGTTACAGCGAGTTTCACAAGAAACATTTTTTCGGATCAGCTTCATCCTCCAAGAAAAAATAAGGTATGTTTAAGAAGTGTCACTAGTTGCGTGAAAATGAGGTTTTTTCAGATATTTCTTTTCCGCGCCCGTTCTTGCTTCTCCGTCATATGAATCTTCCGATGCAGTTCTTTCTTGCCTATGGCCACCTCTGTCTCTACCGGTTAAGTTTGTCATTGGTTTTTTTCCATTAAGCAGTTTCTCAATGTTATAGATCTCAAATGTTTCTCAAAATTCATGTTAGTATTTTTTTTAATTATCTGTTGCTGTTTTTTCATCCTTTTTCCAAAATCCTCCAAAATCGGTCCAAAAATTTTCCTACCAAAAATGCACAATGTTTATACTCAATTAGCCTAGAATCTTATTTTTAATAATCATCAATTTTCGATTCACTTCTCCACTTCCTATATATCCGTTCTTGCTTTTCTGCCAGATAAATCTTCCAACGAATTTCTTTCTCGCCAATGACGCCTCTGTATCTTCCCGTTTACTTTGTTGTTTGTTCTTTTTTCAGTTTCCCAATTTCCTAGTTCTCAATTTTTTCGCCAATTCATGTCATTATTTTTTTCGCGTATTCTTTTGATGTTTTCTCGTTTCTCCTCCGAAGTTCTCCAATATTGGTTTCAGAACTTTTGCTACCATAAACTCGGAATGTTAGTACCTCGACTTGTCTTGAATCTCAATTCTTATTTTCTCGCTTCTTTGGCAGAAAAATCTTCCAGTGGTTTTTTCTTGCCAGTGAATCATCTTCCCGTTCACAATTTTTTGAAAATAATCTTTTGATGTCCTCTCATCCCTCCTATAAGATTTTCCAAAATCGGGTTTACAACTTTTCCTACAAAAAATGCACAATGTTACCCTATTTTTCGTCACTTTTTTCAGTTGGCTTCTCAACATCCTTTATAATATCCGCCTAACTTACTTTATTATGTACGTTCAGTTTGAATTTTTCCCAATAAAGTAAAAAGCTAAAATATTCACTATTTCTGTTTTTTTTGTTCAGAAATATGGGTTCTACTGTCCATACATTTTTTAATTGACATTCAGAAATTATTTTCTTTTGTAACAAACAAAAGGAGAACAACAAAAATTTCATCAAAAATGAAACACAAAGAAAGAGAAGAGAGTGTCAACTCAAGAAATGGTACATATCGAGATATGTAATTAAAGCTGTTGACGTTATTGCAAGTGTACAAGCATTGCATCACGATAAGGCAGAGTTTAATTAATTTGAGGAAGGTCTGGAAGAAACATTCGATAATCAGAAAAGACAGAGATTAAATTCACCGTTTACCAGTCTTGCTCGCGGACTGGATAAATGATGTCGATCGGTGCGGTTGGTGTTCCTGGACGACGACGAATAACACTCCATCTCTCCTCGTAAGCTGGCTCTTTGATGGTCACTAACTGAAGTATGAGTACGGTTTTATTGTATCGATGAATGCAAAAAATTGAGGCCAATTACGAAAATTTGGGCTTCATGAGTCATTGTTTTTTGAACAATGCGAATCTTTGAACAGCAATTGTATTTCGATTGCAAAGGTTTTTTGAAGTTTCAAAAATATTATGAAGTAGCATGAACTTTGAGACCATGAAAAGCCAATTCCAGAAAAATAGAGAAAAAGGAAACTCTAGTGTTCGAACTTCTCGAATTCTTAGAGATTCGATGAACTCGTATGGGCTTTGAAAATTTTAACATTCCAAAGATTTAATAAGTTTAGCGTGTGCGAATATTTCAAAATTTAAAAATTCCAAACGTTTTCCAAATTTGACAAATTCCTCTGAAACTTGGAATTTCTTTTCTTTTCTGAAATCAGTTTTTACACACGACTCAATAGTTAGTGTCATTCAAATGAACTGATGAATTCGAAAATTCAAAAATTTAAAAAAATCTCTCAAATTCAAAAATTAGCTTACCGGACGTCTGTAGAAAACCTCCATTTCAATCTCTTCCGGCTTCGGTGGCTCGTTGACTTGTTTGGCCTCCGCACGATGCTCCTTTACCACGGCGACCAATTTTGAGATCTTGTCACGAAGATCTTTGATCAGTTTGCAGTCATTCGACATGATTACCTTTAAAAAAATCCTATTAATGTATGAAAATTTAATTTCAAAAGCTATATCGAAAAATATAATCATGGGAAAAAAGAGAAACGATAATCCGGAAATTAAAACATTACGTAGAATGTGGTTTTCAATGCTCAATTATATACATTATTCAAAAAGTTGAAAAGTTTTCATGAAAGTTTTACAGAAAACAATAGTAGCCAAAATTAATGAAAATGACAAGAAAGTGTTTTTTTTTTCGAATTTTCGCGCCAAAATAGGAATGGCTTTCTATTGGAAAACACATGACGCTGTCTCTCTATACTCCTCAACTTGTATAAGCAAATTTCTCGTGACGGTTATGTGTTCAAGGGTCACACAAGCTTGTCTGGACCATGGTCCTGTCTGGAGATGTTGTCTAGCGATTAGACAGACACTATTCCAGTAACTCGGTTAATTGGATCCAATTTCTGGATGGGGACAGAATATTCGACTTCTCACGCGATGTTTCTTTTTTGTTTAATTCGTGATTTTTCTTTAAAAAAGTGTACCCTGAAGATTCTTTTCTTTGGAAAAGGAAACACTTTTATGAACTCTTAAAAACGAGAAGAATAAAATCGGAAACCATTGAAAGTCATAAAATAGTATTATAACAATCTTTTGGGGTGAGGAGCACTTTTTCGCTCACTATTCTATACTTGTTACTCGACTACTGCACTAACATGAAACAGAACAGACAGTCGCGTCTAATTAGCTTTATTAGAGAACAATTGAAAAGAAATGACACTGCTTGTGACATCACATTCTGTTGGTTCATTTTGTTGGTTCTGGAGAAGAAGAAGAACCGAAAGATTTGGATAAATTCATGAGAGAAAGAATGAGGTTCGGTTCTGATAGCGGTATTCTGATTATCATAAAAAGTTGCTAATTAGCTGAATTATTTAGATGCTGGTGAATCTAATTGGAAGGTCATGTAGAAACAAAAAAGACTACCATTCAGAAGGAGGAACTATCATTCGCTGTATCAGCTGGTGTTAAATTCTTCAAAAAACGGGAACTGAACTAATTGAATAAAGAATTTGAACAATTTGCTAGAAATCAAAGTAGTGATAGCTTTGCAAGAGGTTAGAAGAGTTGTAGAATAGAAAAATGGATTGTAGCGAAACCTCTATTTGATAAGTTGGATTAATTTCCGGTTCTGCACTTTTTGTTTCAGGAAATGCCAAAGTCAGTAAGTGAGCTCTTGAAAAAGCTCAATCAATACGTATGGATGAGCTTCTAAAAGCAGGAAGACAGTAATTGTTCTCTTAAAAATACGGGTTCTCCTTGAAATGCAAAATACGGTAAAATCTAATTTTCTCTCTAAATATTTATACCGTATTTCTACTGATAAAAGCCCTGCCCAATCCGTCAACTTTGAGTTAAAGCAACTTGATTCCTGTGCAAGTTATCAAAAAAATTGACAACTAATAAAATCTTGCTGATATTACGATGAATAACTTATCATTTGACAAATTTTTGAGGTATTTCTCAGGAACAGAGACAAATGAGCTCAAAGTTGCCGGTTCGGATGGACTTCTATTAGAGGAAAGGCGATATTTTGTTCAATAAGAGGAGACCATATAAATGTTAAATTTGCGGCAATGTGGTTCATTCGGTATCTGCACGGCACCCTAATTGTGGGCTCATAAGTTCGACTCTCTCTTCAATTGGTGAAAATTTAAATATCGTTGTTATATTTTCACGCTATCTTTATACGATTTGTACGAATCCGAAGCGGTACCAGAAGTCAAATCAAGAAGGGATATTCAAAGCTCTTGCGAATTTCATATTATTTGAGGTATTTTATGACCTTTTGGGAAATTCGATTAGCCCATAGTATTCTGGATCTTTCTGATTCTCATTTAATGTTTTACACGAATATTGAGTGACATTACCGTAATCCTTAAGTTGAAACCCATCCGAACCGTCCACTTCGAGCTAAATTATCTTGATTGCTATGAGAGATATCGAATACTTTTTCACTGACAAATGCTTTATCATGATATCATCAATATTTTATCAGTTGACAAAACTTGTATATCTTTCACGAGAATCAAAATAAATGAGTTAAAATTGGCGGTTTGGGTGAGCTTCTATCAGAGGAAATACTGTATTTTTTCCCCGAATCTCCTAATCAATAAAGCACAGAAATCTCCCTTATTTTACTTTCCAAATTCTTAATTCCCCTTTTTTGTAATTTTGTTGTACTTATTTCATCCAATAAATTCTTGTAAACCAGCTGGTGCTCGCTTCCTCGCACACCCCAGTGCTCCTTGGTCTTTCTAACTCATTCTTAGGCCAGCAATTTCCTTCAACTGAAACTTTCAGACAGCTGTTTTTTTACGAATTTTCTATTCTTTTCCTCCGAAAAAGCGACAGATCAAGAAAAAAAAGAAGGAGGTACTGAACTTTCGAAAAACTATTGACGCCTTTGTTCTTCTTCAAGATCTTAATCATAGATCACAATTTGACCTAGTAGATCATTAGGTAAACACCTAATCCTTCACAAAATTAAATTTCATGTTCTAAATTGCGTGTTCCAACATAAATGTTTTTTTCCAAATAATGGTATTCAACCATAAACATCTTCTATTTTTCAATGAATAATTTTCAAAAAAATTTTGTTCAAAAAATCAGAAATTTTGCGATTCGGAAGTTAAGAATTCTGAACTTCGAGGTTTTTTTTTTCAATTCAAGGTATTCATTCTGCAATTCTAAACTCCAAAAATCGAAATTTATGAAATTCTGAGATTCCAGAATCTCAAAATTCGAAATTCAGGAATTCTGTAGATCAGAAATTGCGAAATTTTTAAGTTCTAAAATGCCAGTTCCAAAAATTCTGAAATTTTTACCACCGCATTTTCTCGAATAGACGCCCATGGGCTTCTATTAGAGGGTGGGCTTCTATTTTTCGAAACACCTCGCGGGGTGGGCTTCTATTAGAGGTGGGCTTCAAATAGAGGTGGGCTTCTATTAGAGGAAATACGGTAGTCGGTTTGATTCATTATCTCCCACCCAAAAACTACCAGGTCAGTTTTAATAGCTCTTTCTTTTTTTCTTCGCCTAACCAACCATCTTCTCACTCTCACTCTCACACAAAAATCTCCTTCTCTTCTTTTTTTTTTCATTTGCACCCTCCCAGCGTCTCCCAGCGACACCGGCGGTCATCGTCTTTCTTCTCCATCTTCTTCTTCTTCTTTTTCTTCTTCTTCTTCTTGTTCTTCTTTTCCTCATCTTCTTTAGTGGCAGAAATAGAATTGGAGGATTGGCGAGATAGCGTCCCGCGTCAACTGGTGGAGCGGGCGCCAGGAGGAAGAAAGAAGAGAGGGAAAAAGAAGAAAAAGAAAATGGATCGACATGCACTTTGAGACTTAGAGGAGGCAACGGAGGCACGGACTCTTATACTTTTTTCCTCAATCTTCGAAACGGCAGTCTATTTCGACTATTTCGATCCGATTTTCTCAAACTTGAAATTGGAAAATCGAACGTTATGAATGTTTTACGAATTCATTCAATTCAACATTTTTAAATTCTGAATCACAAAATTCTCCTCTAGATAATAAGTACTTTTTTCTACGATCTTCCAAAGAAGGTCCACTTTTGGATTTTTCAAATTTCTTCGACCTTTACTTTCCCTGTTTTTTCTCCTTTACCCCGAATTTTTAGTTACTTCCACCAAATTTTTTTTAGATCTCAGTAATCATGGTTCCCGACTTTGAATCCATCATGGGTGAGACCTACCACCAACAGTTTGCAGAAGATTCTATACTCAATTTAAATGTTGACGAGATGCGAATGGAAAAACTTCTTACCAAAAACGATATTGTGAGAAATTTATGGTTTTCTAGCCATATTTTGAAGAAAATTCTTTCAGTCTTGTCTGAAGCGGCTGATCGTTAAGTTCCGTCTGCACTTGAAAGAAGGCGTGAGTAAATTCCCATTTTTCGTTTAAGGTCAGGCTTCGAGAACGAATTTTTTACACAAATTAAGTTTTGAAAAAACGAATTTCAATTCAAATAAAATTGTTCCTCTCAAACGGATGTCATTCCAGCACGAGAACATCGAGCAGAACGGAAAAGGAGATATTCTACTGGACCACGCAATCTTCATCAACGATCTAATGATCAAGAGAACAGAGGCTTTGCAGGCAGCAGCCAAACACGAGAAGGACAAGGTCAGTTTACAAGAAATGTGGCTAAGCACAACAACGGAACCGAATTTCTTCTAACGAACGCCTGCGTCTGCTCTTGTTGTAATCGAGTAATGCTGTTGAGATATTTACGTCTCACAAATGTACTAGCCTATGCATTAATACATTTTGTTGCGAAACGTACCTGTCTTTTCAACAAAAATCCAGAACAAAATCAGAAAAAAAGATTTTCGTTCGAGTAGCAAAACTTTTGGAATGGGATGTCAGATAAGGAGAAAATTTCCTTTTCGAATTGAATATACCTTGATCCCTCTAATAGAGATCCACCGAAATCATCAGTTCCGGGCTCAAAAATTTCAATTTGTGTGAGAGACATGAAAGAGTGGTTAGCTGGTGAATTATTTTTGAAATTATGAAATATATTTTGTTTGCTGATCAAATCGTGATATCTCTTACAAAAATGAGCTCAAAACTAAGGGGTAACGTGGGCTTCTATAAAGAAAGTACGGCATGTGGAATGGTCCCTCGGTTTTTGCCAAAAGGAATAAATATTTTTGTCAAACTTGATAGCCCTAAAAATGATCTGAATATATTTTGAAATCGGTCCCGCCCATTTTTGAAAAAAAAACCCACACTCTTCTGATGGTCTCACAAAGTGGGTTCTTCTCACCATCTCGTTTCCACAAAAAATAAAACATGAAAAATTGTAAAAGTTCTGTTGCCTAGTTGCTGTTTGAAAATTTGTATTCTTGACTTCAGCCACCTAATCAGATTTTTTAAACATTTGATAATCTGGATGTCTTAGCGCATTTGACAGGGCGATTCCAACTTTTGAACCAAAGTTTTTCTGCTGAAGGAATCCCACAAATTCAAAAAGCAGGCAAGGTTTGTTAACATCTAAGGGTCTGGGAACTCTGAATCAACGTCCAGAAACGTATATTTTAGTTTAACTAAGCAATACCAAAGTTTCTCAAATTGGCAGAAAAAAACTCACCTATAGAAACCTTTGAAATTCTCACTGACTTTTGAATCCCCCATCAAGAAAGTTCTACTCCATACGTTTTTAGTGGTGTCGGGAAACCATTCCATATTTATGCGAAATCGTTTACTCGTAAACAAATGGCTATGGGGTCTAAATGTTTTTGTGATACTAGTGAGTTTACTAGTGAGAAGTTGGCGGCGGAATTGCGTTTTTATCAATCTGGAAATGAATGATATGCAAATCACAAAAATCATTAACACATTTCTAGTTCGCCACAGAATCAAAATTCAAAACACTCACTAATTATTGTTTTTTTTATTTCTTCACTGAAAAAATTCATGATTTTTCTAATACATTCATACTATATTTGATTCATTATAATGCTATCATCTATGGGAGTTTTGAGCTCAACTATTTCGGTTTCTTTGAGGGATATCGAGAAAAGTTCAACCGACAAATTATTTATCATGATGCCTTTGATATTCTATCAGTTTCCAGAGTCTTGATAGCTTTTATATAAAACCGAAATAATTGACCCCAAAGTGCACGGGTATGGCTTATTTACCCAGCGGAAGAGTTAGCCCCAAAGATATCTCTAGGCTTCCCATTAGCCAGAGCAACTAGCACAACATGAATTAGAAACGTTCCTTTGACCATGACTACATACCGCTACCAGTAAGTCAAAAAAAGTAAAAGAATGAGACAGACACGCAAAATTTTCCCATTAAAAAGTAGATATTCAAAACTTCTCAGTTTGTGAAAAATTTGGAGCTCTTGGTGGCGTCAAAATGCTAAATTTCCCTCATTTACAGAACAAGCGCTCAGAGCACTTCATGGTTACAGTCAGTCTCTTCAAAAAAGGCCTCATTGCCTTTGAAAAGCAACAAGTCCCACTCCGCCGTCACCTCGCTCGCATGGCTTTCGCTAAAACTGATGAAGGTGCTGCCTATTTCAAACAAAAGGCACGAGAGGAGATGGCCGCAATCATCAAGGAAAGAGTAGACGAGTATAGAAGGATAGAGGCTGAAAAAGAGGCGCAACCAAAAGAAATAACGGTAAAGGATGCACCGAAGAAATTGGAAAAAGTGGTGGAAGAAGATCAAAAGGATTTGGAAAGTGAGGAAGAAAACAGAGTAATCATAAAAGAAGAGAAGGGCGAGATCAAAGAGGAACAACCGATAAGCTCATAAATGATCGATCCAACTGTATTAACTTATTCTCATTTCCAGTTTGTCTTTCTGAAATCCCGCTTCCCGCGAGGAAGCCTGAAAAATGATTCAAACAATAAAATCGATTGTATGAATACATTTTCGAAAATCGAAGAAACTATTTTTCTTTTTTCTCATCATGAGAACAGTTCTTTTACAAAAATTTAGTTGAAAAGAAACAAGAGAAAAAGAAGAAATCAACACCCACCAACAAAGAAAATGTAACCCAGAATGTTGACTTTCCGTTCTTACTAACGTTCAAAATATGAGAACTAAGTGTAGCAAAAAAAAAGGGAACAGACAGAACAAAAAAGTGCACTTTTGCGAGAGATTTTTGAATTGGAGGCAAAGATGGGAAAAGAGAGGGAGGGAGGGAAAAAGTGATAGTGCATATTGAAGCGTCGTATTTTTGGTTTCTTGAATAGAACAGAAAAGGCACGCGTGGTTCAAACGCATTCAACTACTGTGATAAATCCAAAATGTTTTAATTAATCCACGTGTGCTGACGTGAGCGCAGATTGCAGAACAACCTCGAGCTGGGAAATATGTACTTCTATTTTTCGCGCGCGCGGAAAGAAATCGAAAACAAAATCGTTACTTGTGTTTTTTTGTTCAAATGTGTCTGGAGTACGGTATGTCAACAGATCTGATGAGAAAAAAAATAGAAAAGTGAAATTTATTTGGTGATTCTAGGATGCAATTGAGAGTGCGACGGAGAATGGGTGGAAGGGTGATCAGAATAAATTGCTCGTTCCAGAATGTGGAGAAAAACGGTACATAAAAACATATTTTGTCAGAAACACTTCTCTTTAGCCGCAATTACGACATGGTATACTGTCAAAACTGCGATATCAGGAGCTCCTACCCTCTCTTAAGTTTGGGCTAATTTTCTTGGCTCCTATGCAAGACATCAAAAATGTATCCACCGAGAAAACATTTTTGTTATTATGATCAGAAGTTTATCCAGTGACAGCTTTTTCATATTTTTGACTGGAACCGAGAAAAATTGGGTCAAAATCAAGAATGAAATGGCCCTTCTATAAGAGGTTTAAAGTATTTCAACTGGTCAAGTTGGGTGTCAACTTACTTTCCTACCTGTAACATAATTGTTTCGAAGTTTTTTCGTGAATCTAATTCTGCATACTGTTCAGTTTTTTGGATATTCGCACCCAGAGTCCGCGTAAGTACCAAACTTGGACTTGTGTATTCCAGTTCTTACCTGTGGTTTTAAGTTTTTTTCGTGTACCTGTGATAACAGAGATTAAGTGGGAAATCTAGTTTCAAAAGTTTCAAAGCAGTAACTTGAAAGACGGACCCCGTCCCAATTTTTGTCTTTCCAGAAGGATTATGTTTAAAAAATTGACTGTTCAAATATGTGAAGTATTTAAGTATTTCTTCAAACTTTCTATACAATCAAAGGATATAGCAAGTTTCACCCGCTATTTCAGGTAGAAAGGGATGCCTATTTTCTATGAAAATAAGCACACGACTTTGGTCTATTAATTTTAATGATTCGAATTTCAGTATCTTTTTTTCAGCCTTATGTTAGTCCTCGCCTGCCATCTCTTTCTTCCTGATGACGTTTTCAGATATCTTTTTTGTACCGAGATTTCAAACAACTCATGCTAAATATTGGCCATAGAGTACTTAAAACTTTCCCCCTCTTTAGCTAAACCTTTTGAGTGTAAGATCTCAACAAACACACAACTTCCATAAACTATAATTATAGAAAATTTTCCTAACATATTATCCGCATTTTCTCCTCTTTCACTCTCTCTCCAAACTTACTTAACGACAGCTTTTCTTCTTATTCCTTACAACTAAAGATATCAGTGGATTGTGTACTTGGCTCTTTCGTGAGATCGGATCATTCCTGTCGTCTTATTTTTCTCCTAAACCGTCGCTGCTCGCTCTCTCTTTTCACTATGCCGGATTGCAGCACCCAGACTCCTCGTCGCATCACCGAACGATTTCATCGCAGGAACTTGTCTCAACGAGATATGGTGAGAAATTTCAGTTCATTAGAAATGTATGTTTTGATCGATATGATATTTATAGTTTCTCTACCGGTGGTTCTTCCAAGAGCTCGTAAACGCCCAGGCTAATTTGGTAAGTATTATGAAATGAAGATAGTGGGGATTTACTGTTTTTACGAGTTGCTAACTTTTTCATACGGTGAACAGTCTGGCATATCTCAGTCTGCTCCTGACCTTGTCAAAAAACCAGATATTCATCACCTATGTTCGGAACGCAAATCAGAATTCTGACAATTCCAAGAATTCTGCAAATTCCGAAAAATTTGAAAATTATTTTTAAATACAAAAATACTGTTTTTTGCGTTTTCTGAACTTGTTCATCAATTTTTCGCGCTTTTGTGGTGTGAAATTGGGATTCCAAAGTTCTGAATATTTCTAAATCGGCATATTTCGAGTTTCCAAATTTTCGAGAGTTGGAAACTCGGATTTTTGGACATTCCAACAAACTTCGAAAAGACCATTCCTAACACTTTGATCAGAGTAGCCAAATACTTTATAGAAAAATTAATTAGGATTGAAAAGCGTATTGCTGGTTTCAGCGTATTTTGAAATGTTAAGATAGCAATGTAACAAGGAACACAAAAGAATAAAAGTTTTTACTACCAAAAAACCTGACTATGAAAACAAAATTCGAATCTCGTGTTTTATTTTTTCAATGACTAGTTCGAACTTTTTAACTTTTTTAAAATGATATTGATTATTTCAGTTCGAAATCGAGGAACTTCGACACTCTACTCTTTCGATATGGGTGATGGGAAGAACAGAAATAGTCCGCGAAATTCTGCAAATTGGCTCCTGCGGCTTCCGCCATCGGGATCGAAGACACATTGACCGACTCATCTGCTGTATGCACCAGATGACCCGAACACTTCGCGAAGAACTCGAGGCTGATGCTGCGTTCTTTCGGACGAATTAATAAGAAGAGAGTACGGTATTGAATGAATAATGCTCTTACGATTTCCCCATATCTTCTTCTATGAACATTTTGATATGTAATGCATTTGTTTTAAAAAATGGAGGAACAGAATAGTGTTAAAAATTTCTCATTTTTGTTTAGAATTGGCGAGGATTGTGATAAACAAAAAAATTATTACGAAATTTGTTCAAAAAAGACAATTGTGTCGGTCTATTTGCAGTCAAATATTCAAATGAACTGTTCACACCATTTTTGTCTACAACAATTTTTATCGTTTCCAATCAAAAATGAACTGTCACAATTATTTTGTTGCTTTCCTCTTAATCCACCGTTGAATAAATGTTCTCGAAATTTCATTCCGCTTCTCTTCTTTCAAATGCAAAAATTTCGCTATTTTGTTGACGATCATTAGCACACTCTCTAGAATCAATCCCCTAATTAGTCCAGATTACCGACGAGCTCGAGAGCACACCTGCTCGTTTCTGAGCGCCGCACCTCCCTCTTCTTTTTCAATTGAAACGTTTGTGCCATTCTGTTGAATGCTCCCCCAAAAATGCACGAAAGAGGATTCCGATAGTGGTAATCTTCGTTTTCTTTCAAAACGAAATAAAAACAAGGATAAACTGAGATTAGATGTTTTGAATAGTGGCGGTCGAGCCACCTTTAATAAATTTAATCTGGAAAAACGGGATATAAAATTTTTTTTTAATTATGAATGATATTCAAAGGGAAGAAAAATGAAGACTAAAAAATCACATGGGCATATTGATAAGTGAAGTAAAAAAAGAGGAAAAAACCAACTGGTTCTCAATGGAATCGGTTCCATGAGTTGTAAAAGTTGAACGGATTGATAGTGACTTTGAATTCCAGAAAAATCGGTGTTTCAGCTGACTAAAGTTTGTGCAGTATCGCGAGGATTTTGTTTCTCCCTTCTTGTGACGCAGGTTTAAGATCAATCAATCCTATATTTTCGATTGACTTGCATATAAAGAAAAGAAGTTGATTTCGTACGGCTGACCGGGAGTTTGACTTTAATGTTGGCTGAAAACATTTATATGATGAAAGAGTTCAATAATCGGCTCACCATGTCCACGTCTTCTTCGATGCTGTGCTTCTTCCACTTCACATAGTTTCCATGGATTTCTTTCTGGAAATACTGTAGTTTATTATTCCAAAGTTATATGTTTGTGCCCTCACTAAGATCTCAAAATCAATATTCCGTTCTCTGAACCATGGCGCAAAGCGAAGAGGAACAATAATGGGTTGAGGCTCTTCCTCCTCCATTTTTCGGTGAAATAGATGTGCGGGAAACTAATATACTGAGAGAAGGGAGTTGTACTAATGAGAAGATATGAGGACAAATGTTAGATGAATATTCGAAAAAGGAGTTTAAGATAACAGATGAAGTCTCGCGTGAGGATGACTGGGTAGTGAAAAAGGATGACTGGGTAGTGAAAAAGGTTTTAGATATTTAGATTAGTAGAAGTGCTGAAAGCTTCAAATTATTATATTTTTACGTTTTTCTAAGCTCTTAGAAGTTTCAGAAATCAGAAAAGGCCCTTCGCTGACAAAATTACATATGCGGTTTGTTTTCGAGTTGGCGGACGTTCGATTTTTTTTATGGAATAAGTTGCTGGAAGAAAAATTATCAGTTCTAGAAAACCTGAATTTGTTCAATTCTAACGTTTTCCCAAGCTCTTAGTTTCCATAACGCAAATTTATACCACTGAATTCCCACGTACTCTATTCGACGGATGAGAAAAAGCTTCGACGATAAGCGAGAGGAAGATTTTTTTTGTATTTTCCGCCCAGCTAAGCACTACAATATCTGTTATACTCTTTTTAAAAATAGCCCAACTACAAAGCTTTCTCTCGTCAGAAATCTAGAGTCTCCGTACCTACGAAAAACTGTTTACCAAATTTTCTCCGAAAATAAACAAAATTTAGACAGAATTGCTTACCGAAGAAATTTATCTACAGAAAGAGAAATTGAAAACAAAAGGTGCACATAGAAAACAACGATGAATTGCATAATAGCGGTTATAGAAAATCGATTATTAATGATTGTGTTTGAGCATGAAGTAGTCGTCTTTGTAATAGATTGGTTCGTTGATCTTGAAAGTGGTCCATTCTCCCTTGAGTTCCCATCCAGGTTGGGCTGGTCCTTCGTGAACAAGATGGTAAATTGGAACACCGGATCGGACTGGCACCAATGAGAATTCAGGCTTGACTATGGCCATGGGAACTTTCGAAACTTGTGGTGGTGGTGATGGCATCTGCTCTGCTGGCGGCGGTGTTGGAATCGGGGAAAGTGGCTCTAGTTTTGGCTGAATTTCCAATGTTGGTGGAGAAGAGACGCTTTGCATTTTTTTGGACTGCCTGGGATGAAAAATATCAGATTATAAATTCAGGCTGCGTGAAAGAAGAAAAGTCGAGAGAGATATCAGAGGAAAGGACGTGTTGGGATGAATATACATAAAATAAACACTAAGACCAATAACACATATTTATAATGGACCCAGGGAGGGGGAGGGGAAAGTCAAGAGAAAAAAGAAATCGAAACATTTCTCAAAATATTGGCTCAAATATAGCTGAATAATGTTCCTCTACCTGCATCCCGAAAGCGAAAATCAGTGGTACAACATATCAAGGTTTCTCGCATACAGAGAAGAAGAAAATTTCACATGACCAAGGACACCCTAATTCGGAGGAATAGACATTTGAATGTCTCCTTCCTCCCACAAGCGTTCTCTTGTTGCTTAGTGAGAAAGCTCTTCAACAAATGTCACCTATAGTTACTGAAAGATTTCATTTATTGTGTCTGACACAAACTTCATAGTGCATTTGTATTTTTCTTGCCTATTCGAAAATAAATCACATGAGATAGTCTAAGGAAACAATGAGCAACTACTACTCTCACGCCTAAGAAAATCATTTGAATTTATTCGGTGAGAAACTGAACAAAATTGCATGTTTGCACTGAAATCACATCTTACGAAACAAGCAATCAGTGATTTTGAATATGAAAAGTGGAATTAGACACCGGAAAAAAATTCCAGAGAGTAAACATCTAAAAAATCAATGGGCGGAGTTTCGAAGTGTGCCTAATCGAGTAACTGGAAGATAATGAGCAATATTACATTCCAGGCAAAATAATAAAAAAGAGTTCCGAATATAAGTTCAATTTATAAAAGTGAGAGAGATAGAAAAAAAGTCGGAATACTGGTGAAAATTTGAATCTTGGTCAAAATTTGAACTAGGAAGAAAAGCAGACTCCGTCTCTTTGAACGAGGCAAGACAGCTTGCAGTTGGCCGGATAGTTCGGGAAAAGGTGGGGGTTAAGATTGCCAAAAAACTGTTTTAGCGATGAATTCAACTCCTCGAGGAATTTTATTTGATGAGAAACTGGACGAAATTGCATGTTCGCATTTTCACATTCACAATCACATTTTGCAAAATGTGCAATCAGTGATTCTGGATATGAAAATTGAAATTCGACACCGGAAAATTTTATAGAGTAAACATCTGGGAAATCAATGGGCGATACCCTAATCGAGTTACTGGAAGATGAAAAACAATGTTACATTCCAGGCAAAAAAAGAAAAGGGCAACGGTTATTAATTCGATTCATGAAGGAAATAGATAGAAAAAGGACAGTACACCGGTGATGATTTGTCTTAGGAGGAATAGAGGGAACAGTAGACTCCGCCTCTTTGAAGGAGGGTTGGGCAGCAAACAGTTGGGGGGGGGGGGCAGTTTGGGGGAAGAAGTTTTGGCGGGACAGTTTGGGAAGGAAGTGGGTGGGATTAAGGAAAACATGTTTTGCTGACCAATTCAACTGGCACAGTTTCATAAAATGGTTCACCATATTTCCCTATACACTTCGATCACCTGAATTTATCAAAAAAATAGTTCAATTTCAAGATGAAAAAAATTAAAGATGAATTTTTCAAAAAAAAAAACCCTCAAAAATCTCTGCATTTTTTTCTGAGTGTCTAAAATCGCAACATTTTTTGTGAATCTGAGATAACCTTATGAATAAAAAATGGGTGGAAAGTATCTTTCCTCTACATGTTATCCTCTCTAGAAAACGCCCCCAGCCCTAATACACTAATTGCTCGAAATTTGAGAACGACACGCTTTCTTAGTGAAGCCTCCTGTCAACTAAAAACTACAGAGCAATAAATCCTAGCACATCACTCATCTGCTTCTCCAATTTGGAAAAAAATGGCTGCGAATTTTCTGGGTGCTCTTTCCAAAATGCATTTTACGAGCAAACCCGAAGACGTGATTTGACTTTGTGACTCAGCAACTAAACGAATTGCACAAACTCTTTCTTTAACGACCACCTGCAAAGCCCACCAAAAAAAATTGATCTCATGTTTTTTTCAAGAACTTCAAAAAAAACGAAAGTTGATATTCTATAATCTTTGAGTAAAAAAGAGAACCAACATCAGTGAAATAAAATGATAAATGAAAAGAGTTTATGGATGCAATGCGGGGAGAATGGTAGAAGAATATGGATCATAAAATAGGGTCGAATCGTACGAGAGGCGGGGTTTGAAGGAGGAAGAGAGGGAGGCAGACACAGTGAAAAAATAGAACAATTCTAGATGCGGTGAATTAGAGCAACACAGAAAAGAAAGAATGCAATTAAAAAGAGAACAGTCGAGGACAGGTCAAAGCAGATACCCCATGCAGGTGGCAAAATGTTGAGAAAAAATGCAGGTGTTGTATCCTGTTGGCCGTAGAGTTTCTGCAAAAAAAACTATTGTAGAAGGAGCAGTATTTAACGAAAAAAAAGAGAACATAAGAGAAAGGCAGCTAACCTCACGAAGAGCGCCTATTAAGTTAAAAATCATTGATGTGGGGATTGAGGCAAATTAAAGTCACAGGGCGACGGTCAGAGTTAGATAGGAGAAACTATAATTTTTTCGAGCTCCGCTTCAAATTGCTGGAATTCTCCCTGCTCTTCTCAATGGCTACATAAAATTTTCCTCCGGCAATCGATGGAGCAGCGGACAATGGCAAAGTGGATTGCTCTTCTGCAATGTTGGCTGGATGGCTGATCAGCGATCGGAATAGACTATCTGATTCATGAGTGTCTGTATTGTTAATCACTCCAAATATATCAATGCTGAAATAGAAAACGAATTGTTGTACTCTTCGAAATATGTGCCAGCCAAAACGAGTCATGCCGTAGTTTGGTGTCTGGAAATCTGGAAGAAGAAGGATAGCTTTGGACAGCGTTTTCCAGAAACTTTCTAATTGGTAAATCCGCGTTATGCCATGCTGATTTCTCTTATAGAGAATTCTCAGCGTGTACAACAACACATTACAAGCTGGGATGACAAAGCGCGCCGAGAAGAAATTTGGCTACGATGTCATGGGTACAAGAACTGTCAAAATAGTTGTGTCGATTTGAGAAGACGGAATAACGAAACGCGAGTAATTTTTTTTCTTTTCCAGACTAGAAAGTTTAGAGGAAAAGAGTAACAGAAGCAATCCACCATTTTGTTTTATGGTCCACTTCAATTTGGCTTACAGTATATGATTGTCAAAAATAAGGAGGGGAACGTGAGAAAAGAGCAACAAGAGAGAATGAGGTGTGAGAAGATGACAAGACAAAGTAGATTGATAAATTTCCATGTCAGTGGTGTAAGTTGAGATCTCGATTACCCATTTCTGACTTGCCCCCATCCCTGTGATCTTGACACTATCTTTCTTTCCTTTCCACAAACTAGGACTAACTCTTGCGTCCTTCTTAGCTTCGTTTTATCGTTTTCTTTCCCCGGTTCTTATCACTCTTAATTTATCTCCAAATAAACGAATACATAACTAAGTTATTCGAATGGTGCACCTACGTACTATTCAGTTTATGTTTCCCCACAAAGAAATTCACTTTTTCTAAGAAATTTTTTTGTAGCTAGAGAAGAAGAGCTTAATGGATCTATAGAAGAGTTGGGGGTAGAAAGTTGATTTCTGTTTTCGTGATCTCCCTTGGTTTTAGTATGGAGAGATTGAGCGTATAGGGGAACTTACGGCCCAATTTTGATAAGGACTACCAAAAACAGTCCACCGATATGTTTCATCCATTTTATTCAGGGTTACAATACAGGATCGTTAAAAATGAGGGGGGGGGGAGCGACAAGAGCAAAAGGGGAAAATGAGGGGAGAATGTGACAAGAGAAAGTAGATTGTTAAATTTCCATAACGTTCAAAAATGAGTAGGGGAGCTGACTATACCAAGTTACCAACGGATAAACTGTTTATCATAATATTACAAACATTTTTAAGATACTAGTCATCGAAAAAAAATGAGAATCATTTCTAAAAAAACTTTTTATTTTCAATAATTAAATTTTTCAGGAGCCCTACTGCAACCGGTATAGCAGAGAGTTCTTCTCCCCACCACTCGACATCGCTATTTCTATGCAAAGAAAATTTGTCATTGGAAGAGGGCTGGATGAGAAAGTATGCGTTTTGTAGGTTTTGATTTATGGTTCAATGTTGTTACGGAACCCAGATTTCGACAAACTCAAAATTCTTTCGAGAAGTACTCGTCAGCTTCAGCTACAGTCGTTCAATAAAATGGTAATCAAAAACTAATACAGCTCCATAATCTTACCTATTCATTTGATTGTTTGAGGCACTTGTTGCTGATTCCGGCTTGAAAAAAAAACAACGGGTTCACAAAAGCAGCTTTGTTGACAATCTACCAAGGAGGGCGTTTTGATTTGATTACCAACAGCCACAAGCAGCCATGGATCTCGAACAAGTTCATCAGGCTCAATGTTGGGCCCAAGTCTCATTTGGACTTTATGCAGGTTTTTAACATTTCGGAGTAAGACGGAGGAGACTGCTATATATTTTCAAAGTTTTTTTAATACTTCAGCATTAATATATTTGGAGCGATTGACAATGCAGACACTTATGAAGAGGAACCAATGCTGGATCTGGTGTGTACCACATTTTTCAGTATGTCCTTTTTTCTTCCACCCAAAAATGTTACAACACTAATTCTCCCGTTATTCATCCCCGCTCGCTCTCTTTTTCTCTCTAAATCCTTATAATCTACCTGTTTTTTGTCATCTTTTTCATTTATTCTACTCTTTCCTCCTACTTTTGGTCTTTACTGTTCCAATTTCTCCCCTCATCTATGTTCTATTTTTTCCTTTTCCTCCCGATTCGTGCCCACATCTCTTCCTGTTCATTATCAGCCTTCAAATGTTCTTAATGGTTTTTTTTTTCGTGCCTTTCTGTACTGTTTGTCCCCTTTTTCCCTAATTCTCCCTTTTTGCTCATGGTTCTCCCTCATCTTTTTTGAACGTTATGAAGATTTACCATTTAACTTCCTCTTGTCCCCTTGAGGCGTGCGACGAGAACATTGA